GTGGTATCACATAATCCTCTGAGGATCTAAGGGTGTGTATCTTTGGGATAATTGGGGTCAGGGTTTACTGTATGATCCCAGATGACTTGGATGATGGTGGATCAAAGGAGCCACTAAATTCCCATCTAAACAAGGATTCATTGATTCCTTTGTGGCACCAAAATTTACGTGATCCTGGTCTGTATCAGCCCAAAGGAACATACCCCAAATGCTATTAAAGCCTGCAAATGCAAATGTATTTCCTGCACCGTTTGAACTCCCTGTGCTACAACTTGTATATGTTGCTTAGCAACTGACATTGTCGACAGTAAACAGCTGCTGGAATAAACAGAAGTGCGAACTTTGCAGACTGGAATGCTCCAACAGTTGGGTGACTGTACTATCAGTCATGAGCATACATGGGGAATATAAAGGCTAGCCTTGTTAAAATACAAGTAAGCCATTTCCAAAGGTGTCTTTGCCACAGGCTGCTTTTAAGATTTTTCTGAACAGTATAGAACTGGTGATCAGACAGTCCACTTGAGGCATCTTGTGTCCTGATGTGTTCCTAGACATTTCACACAGCAATACCTTGCTCCACAAGAAACACATGTGTAGTTTGAGGGAAATGTATGAACCAGTCAAGGAAGTACAAACAAAACTAAACTCTGGTTAAGTTCATCTGTGAAACAGCACCAAAATCCTTGTTCCGTGCCCCCGCCAGTGTACCACCACAATTAGCTTGTTAAAAGTGATTTGCCAATCAAGATGAATGGAAATGCGAAATGTACTTCTGGAAATTTGTTGAGTCTGTTTGAGGCCCAGAACAAGGGTATTGGTGCTGCTAACACAATAATAATTTACAAATTTACTATAGGGCCTTTTAACATATATAAATGATCAAAAGCGCTTTAGAGTCTGCTTCGCAGGCATTACTAACCCAGGTTAAATTACATCTGCAACACAGGCTGTTCATTTTATGAAAAGACCTTTGAAGTATTATTGTTATTTAGCATTAAGCAATGTATTTGATGTATATTGTGACCTCCTTAAGCTTGCTGCTTGAATGTAAAATCTAAGTCTACTTCCCTTCAATGGGGCTATGTTTTGCTGGAGCCATGGAATCTTTGGTAATGGTTTAAAATGCTTTTAAAAGGATATCCACACACAGAACAGAAGTGTCTTTCTGGAAATTTAGATGGTGGAACATTGGCTGAGGAATAGGATGGTTCACCAACTTCAGATTCCTGTTCCTGGATAAAAATGGACATTTTTTTAATATCATATGACATGTAGTAGATATTGCAGTCATGCATATGGCTACAGTTAATTTTGGAAATCAGCCCTACAGCCTACTGTACAGATTAGTTTAGTTATAACTGCTAGCATAAGTTACAGGAAACTGGCTAATCTGTAGGTTACACATGAAATGCATGATTTCCAAGAACAGCAACTGTAAGAGGAAACATGCAGTCCACAATCTGCTATTCTAAAGAAAAATCTTTTCTCCTAAATTTAATGTTATTCTTCTAAGGTTGGTTAAATAATGACTTCAGAGTTAAAAGAATCATTGTTACTTACTGCCTCCTCTAGTAGCATGGCAAAAGTTCTTCGAAATCTCTGCAATAATTTGATAAAACAAAAGGAATAATATTGTTAATGCCCCCAGAAAAAATAAGTAAGTTATGCACTGATTATTTTTATGTGTACTTCAAAAATGTATTATACAAAGCTGGAACCATCTTCAAAACTTGATGAAGCGATGATAAAAGTTGCAAATCCTACGGCACAGGTTGAGTATGAAAGTGGGCTTAAAAAATACCTAAAAAAAATATCCTCCTACCAAAAAGCGATATCCCCTTACACTCTCTTATAGACTTGTAAGTTTATAGTTGTATTGTCAACTGAAATGTGCTGAGCATTAACCTATATTTACAGACCTGTTTAAACAGCTCTCCTGTTTTCGATCTCCTTTTCTTTCTTTTATCTGTGAACATTTAGAAATAACAAATATTTACCAAAGTGGAGGTGGATAGTGGCAGATAATTGAGGTGAAAATGATGATTTCTAACTCACAGATTGCTGCCAATGATTTCAATTTTGGCACAAAATTGACCAAACGGCTGTCATGTTTTCTTGTCCATATATAAAAAATTATATAAACTTTTGAAGGTACAGTGAAACCTCTATTAAGCAGAGCCCCAATTAAGCGGACACTAAGATGGGTCCCGAAATAAATGTCTTATATTTCCCTTTATAACAAACCCCTATTCAGTGGACACCTCTATTAAGTGGATGTGGACAATAAAAAAAAATGTACCTGGCTAATTTCTATTGTTAAAAACCTCTATTAAGCGGACACTGCACTGAATTGACAATACTAGTATTGGATTATGTCCTTGAAATACAAACGGTAGTCAATTAATAAGGATAAATCAATACATTTAGCTGTCCAATAAACTGTAGATTAGACTGGTACCTGGCCGATCCTCCATCAAAGTTCACCTAAAGGTTCTTTGGAACTTTATAACAAACATTGCACAATTTTTATAAACTGTACTAAGCAGACTCCCTCTATTAAGCAAACACTTGGGAAGGTCCGGAAGGTGTTCACTTAATAGAGGTTTCACTGTATTTGACTAGCTGTTGAGGGGACATTTCTTCCAAAAGAGTTGTACATTCTTTCTGTCTTTAAAACCATTCTGTTACATGAAGTAACACAAGACCTGATTTGTATTAGGAGAAAAAAAACTTTTCCACCAATAAATTCTAGGTTAAACAGATAAAGCTTAACCCGTAAAAACTGCCAAACTGCCAGATTTCTTTGCCTTCTTCATGTTTTTCGGGAACAGCTTCTTAATATATTTGTGAAATTTCTCTGTTTGTTTTGGTAGCAAACTGGGACACCATTTAGCTCATAACTAAGTGAGTTTGGCATTGCTTCCAAGGAGCCTGAAGGTGAATTAGTACATAGCACTGGATATCCCGAGTTTGAGTATGCAATCAGAGCGTGCAAAAAACACTATCCACTCTTTTAGTATATACTAAACTTAATTAGGATTGTTAAGGGCAGTGTTTTTTGGTGCAAAGGGAAGACAAGTGCTAATTAATTACCTGTGGGGATGCAGGTGGGGGCCAAACATCTCAACTAATAATGTGTTTCTGGTTGTAGCTTACATTTTTACAACTTCCATAATAAATTACCTTCCATGGTATCATTGAAGGCAGGGACCTTCATTTTGGCAGGGACCACTGTCAGGTGAGAGTGGGGGTCTTCTTGAAAGTTATCCTTTTCCAAGGCCTCAAGATGGCGCTTTTGACGGCGTTTTCGTGTGGCATCATCAAGAATTTTTCTACTTGAAATGTCTTTTATTCTCCCTAACAAAATGAATAGGAAATTTTTATAATTGGACTCTCCTAAATGCAATTTCCTGCATTCTCTGAAACAGAATTGGTTAACCAGGATGGTATTTTAAGGCATTGAAAGATGCTCACAAGAAATGAAATATTTGATTTGGTGATTATACCTGTTGGTTTGCAGTTATTTGTTTTTTCCTTTATAAATAAATGAAAAAAAAGGGAATGATTTTCACACCTCAAAAAATAATGATTATTTTGTGTGTGAACTACCGTATGTTACATGTCAAACAACCAGACATGTGTCTGGTGCCGGGCTTGAAACAAAACCCCCGTCGGTACATGAATTGAGCTAGTTCATTTACATAAGGTGCAAAAAATTGATGTTCTTTTAAAGCCAACATCGGCTCGTCATTCAATTTCATGAACAATAAACTACCAATACAACATGATTCATGTCTGTAAAATGTACAAGACAATTTTCACATTAGAAAACAGCAAAAGTAGAGGGCAAAGAATAAATATGTACTCTTAAAAATTTCACTTTTCCCTGTCTTCTTTAAAACATTTAACTTTTCCCTGACTTAAAGTGAAATTCCCTGACTTTTTCCTGACCTTCAAGAATACCCTGACCATTTCCTGACCTATTGTAGCTGTGGCAACCATGTTTGTACCAGAATATTTCAATAATTATATTGCATTCCTCGGGACACTTTTCAAGGGCTATAATTTATTGTAATAAGTTATATGAAAAAACTCAAAATAAAAGGTTCTTATGGTAGCCCAAGATAACAAACTTAAGCTTCAAATTTCACAAAAGGAAATCTTACGCATGACGATTTTACCACACCAAAGAGTTACGGACACTTTAATAACCTTTAAATAAAAGAGCCCGAAGGTATTCTTGGAAAGGAAACCTCAAAAAAAGTATATTGAATAATGGAAACATCGGGAACTTTTCAAAAAAATTTTTTTTTAGAATGCAATCTGGCTTAAAATATTCTGGTACACAAGCTTTTTGTCCACTGAGGTACTACTCAAAACAGGTACATTGGGCTCTCCAGAAAGAAAAAAGTGTCACAAATTTTACTAGAACTGTCGGTAGAAAAGGTTCAGTAAGATGTAAAATCAAACTTTTTTTTCGAAAGCGAAGAAACATACCTGATTCCCGTCTATCCGCCATCTTGAACGATAACTAGCGCCAGTCCCCAGCCGGTCTTCGCATTGGAAGCCTGTCGAGAATTGCAACAATGGCTTGTGCGGATCAACAGTCGTTCAAAGTAACGCGTGAAAATTGGCTAGAAGATCATCCGAAATTCAAGGAAATACAATCCTTCGGTTACTTTAATGAAAAGTCTTCATTAGCAAGAGCGGTGATAACAGTTTATTTAGATCTTTGCGAAAACAAGCACTGGTTTGGTGTTTGCATTCGTCCCTGCGAATCACTGAAATTAGTTTACATAACAGGAAAAAGAACGAAGAAATCTCAAGTTGATGTTGTAGTTCCACTTACCATAGGCACAGCTTTAACAATGGAAGAAATTCGGGACATTCTACAGGAAGTTAATAGATGTGAACAAGAGGGGGAAGACGCGGAAATGGAATCGAGTTGCGCGAGCTCACGAGTGACGGTTGCCTTTTGTGAGGCGGATTCTACAGTGGTTTATTACGACTTTTTTCAAGGGCTTGTACCCCCGGATCCACCAGACGAGGAAGAGGAACAGGAAGAGCAGGTTAAGTCAGGGCGCAAAAAGGTCAGGCAAAAGAAAGAAAAAACTCATCCCAAACTCACAGACTGATCTGATAAAAGCTTCACTTTGATTTCATAGGCGTACGGGCAAATTTTTGCGGGGGGGGTGGGGAGGGGCGTAAACCATTTGCCCCAAAAAATGTTGCAAGTTGCGCAAATTTTTTCAAAACAGTCGAAATGAAACGAGGGCCATACGATGGAACAACAGAGGCCGTACTGGCATATGATATGAAAGTGGCTCGATAGAGTATTTCAGGACAATACCTGCCAAATTTGAGCATAAACTATGTCGCCATAAACAGACATCTGGAAAAATTGCCACCACAGTTGTATTAGATAAGGATGAAAATTTGTCATGATCAGGGTTGCAATGACATCAGAGTTGTCATAGCAACAAAATGATGCCATTACCTATTATACTTGCTGCAATATTTCTTACCAGGAACTGTTCTTACAAAATCGTTCACGGGAGCATTTTCCTCCGATAGTCGCCTTGATGTTTGAGAAATCAAGTTAAAACGGAATCTGTAAGAGCGTTATCGAGATGTTTTGAGACAAAGTTTATATTGTTAGAAATACTGTAAAAAAGGACAATCTTGATGTTTGGCAGTCATCTGTAGAAAACGAAGCGCTTTTGACATGCAATTTCACCTCATAGTAGTTTCAGTCTTTTTAAAAATGTGTGTGAAAGATCATGGAGATAGCTCTAGCCAATTGCTACAAAAAAAGGATTTGATTAGTATGTATCATGGGGCTCTTGTTAGCGGTTTTGTAAACATTCCAATCTGCAAATAAACAAATTAGTGAATAACTTTTTAAACCACTTGATAGATTTTTTAAAAATATTAAGATTCTTCTCATAATTCAAACTGAGAATTAGTCAGCCACTTCTTCACTTTCAGACCCATTGTTGATGCGTATTCTGTCATACACTGATCTCCGAGCAGAGAAAAATTTTAAGTCATGCGGAAGTTGATTATAATCAATTCACGACTGGAAATAGCCCATTCAAGCTAGTGCAGTGCAGTACAGTGCCCAACAATAAAAAAAATTAGCATATGATACCCTTCCTTATAACCAGAAACTCATCATGTTCTAGGCAACCACTGTCTCATGTGAATGTAACTGGATTATTACGCCGACTTCAGGTTAAAATAGAAAATATTTATCTCTTCAAAATAATAATTAAAAAACATGGAAATGTCTTTAAAAACTGGCTCTGGCCAAACTTTTTCTTGCTGCCCAAAAAGTCTGAGTTGCCCAAAATTTTGGGGGGCTGCAGCCCCCCTCGCCCGCCCCGCCTTCCCCCGGCCCATACGCCCATGATTGATTTTATAGAATAATATTTTTTTGTACCCTGTGAGCTAGTAGAGGCTACTCTTTCACGACCGGTGTTTCTATGTATTGGTGTGCAAAAGGCTACGTCTACTTACGTTCCTCATACTATTTTTAATCCAACATTCGAATGGGCAACCCTAAATCTGGGCATTGAGAAATGTTGCCATTTGAGAGAAAACAATTCAAAACCTTCGCTTTGGTCCTTGGATTTACAAGATCATAGACAGCACTCAAGTTATCGGGTATTCCTTCAGGTAATCGATCATTTAGATATAGACAAAGGAAAATCACATCTCCTGGAGGTGTAAACAGGGGTCGTGCTATTAATATGCTTGAAGTCATCAATTTAACAAATCCCGAAGAAGCCAAGAACCTCACGAAACGTTTCTTTGAAGATGAACTCAAAATGGACTTAGCTGACCCACGCTTTAATAACTGACCTGAATATTTCATCGCCAGTTTGCTAGAAAGCGTAGAGAAAGTTCAGTTTCAGTCTGTTATGGCATAGAAGACGAAGTTCTATACATGCATTGACAAGAAATCCGGAGATTTTCCAATTGAATGCAAACACCGACAACGACGAACTAGCAAAGCTGAATAAATCATGGAGGACTTTTCTAAAAATTACCACAATTCTCCCAACTTGAATCCAAATATTTTCAAGTGGCCTACTCCAAGCCAAAAACAGGACGAAACAGTAACTTAACTGGAAGGAAAAAACTAACTTCGTCTTTTAGAGAACAAACTGAGATGGCCGGGCCCAGGTGAAGACAATGAAGAATTCTCAACCAAATACGAAGAGATGCGAAAAAAAATCCATGAATGCCTTCAGGCTACGCCGACAGAACCAAGAGAATGGCTTAAAACAAACCTTAAGTTCGATACTTAAGAACAATTATAAATCATTTTCTCTCACATGCTCAACAAAGATGTTACCCTACTCATGCAGACTGCGCAGAGTCTTTCTCGATTGAGTTCGCCAAAATCGAGCTAGCCAAGAAAAGGTTCACCGGCCCAATGAAAAAATGTTGGAAATTTGATTACTGTGCAACAGATTTCAGTGGTAAACTAAACTGTTTTTTGTGAAACTTGACTAGAGATGATAAACGTGACGTTTCTAACCTGCTATTTGTTTTTAATACGTTTTTCTCAAATTTATGCGCAATGATTAAAGATACAGGATAATTATTCTCCACAGAAAGGTTTGAAGCTTTTATTATTTTGTTCCTTCGGACTTCTTACTTTAATTTATTCCGCAGGAGCTGGTGGAAATAGGTCGAAATATGGCTATTGTTCTTTGAAGTTGCGAGCTAATTAGTTAGTCAAGTTTTATCGAGTCGGAAATATTTATTTCTGAAGGCGTCCGCGTTAATTGTTCATTGTTGAACTGAAATTTCGGGTTTTTCTCACTGTATTAATTTTTTTTAGATCGAAGTCCCATGCGTATTTTGATTGTAAATTGGTAATTATCACCGAGAAATCAGGTGCTGAGAGTCAAAATACTTTCTTTGCGACTTATTGACAAAAGTCGCTTTTTTCAACTAGCAAATTTTTTCTTCACAAGTTTTCTTAACTTTCTCTGCCTTGATGATGAAGAATCATTGTTTACCCCTAAGGTTTGATTTTTTTATTTTTACTACCCCAGCACTTTTTAATGTATCCTGAAGGATGTCAAGTTTTAAGTCTAGACTCATTCAAAAGCTAGTTTGGTCATCGATTTGTGAAGTTTTAATCTAGTCGGCAAACTTTCCTTCCGAGGGCGTCCTATTAAAGCGTTAATTGTTCAGTGATGAATTTGAACACAGGGAATTGCGTGCTTTTCTGAATAAATTGTCAAGCCTCATTAATTAACGTTGGTGCTTTTTTCAGTTTTTTTTTTTATATCAGGTAATTCCCAAGCGTATCCATCGTTTTCGCCTGCAAGAGCCATGTTACGTAATCCCGGAGAGTCGGCAAACTTTACTCTTTCAATGTGATCAATCGAAAGCGTTGATTGCCCATCGTTCAACAAGGAGTGCGAGTTTTTCTCACATACAGTTTCAAGAAAAGACAAAAACAAAAACAAAAAATTTCTCATGCTGGATTGAATTTTAATCGAGCGATCGTATAAATGGAGACACAAATTTCAAGCGATTTAACTTTTTGTAGCTTGAAACTTCCGTGCCCTGCCTGGTACAGCTGTGAAGACCACCAAAATCAGCTAGGAGATCTTTGGCCTTCAATCACAGTCAGGATTCACTGCCTCCTCGAAAGTGCCAGGTTTGTTCTTGGTCTTCTTCGTTCAACCTCTACTTTTGCCTAAGTAAGCTTCTGTTTACATTTATCGCTGACAATTAATCAGATTGTGGAAACGGTTTAAAGAGCCATAATTTTTTTATGGTTCTGAATGCTTTTTTTGTTGAAGAAAGAAATTATTCTTTTAAACTTAACCTAAATGATTTTTTCCTCTGTGTGCGTCTTCGTCGCGCGAAAATACCTGTGAACATTTTACATTTTTCTTCGGTGGATATTGAACGGGACGGGCAAAATATAGATTTACCAGCCATCAAGATAAACTCGGGTCAAATTGGCTTTTCTTTTATTGATGTCTATTGTTGAAAAATTTTGAAGGAATTACTCGGCAGAAGTGTTTTGTTGTAGTATGAAGTGATACGAAAACTGATATTTCTTATGCTTTGAGGGCAATGTGGATGCCAACAAGTGAAATGAATATGGATGTAACCGGCTGCACCGAGTTGCGAGTGTACGATTAATTGTTTAGTTTCACTGAGTTTCACTGGGAATCTCTATTGGCGCCTTGAATAATAAGTTAAGGTTATTATGCTCTTTTCAAAAAGACTAAGGAATTTTTGCTTAAAGATTTGTTTTTCAGTTTTCTCTCTAGCCTATGTCTGTCTTATGACTACTTAATTAGCTATGAATATTTTGCTAAATGCTATTCAGAATGGTTTGCTTCCATCAGTGATCCTGAAAGGTGATTTCAAATAGCAGGCGACATTGCTTGGTCAATGACGTCACAAAAAAGGTTTTCCTAAACGGGGAAGGGTTGCAAACCTTAATCTTTGGAATTTTCACAACCACAATGTTCCATAAACAGTGTAAATCGTAAATCTGCCTAGTATGATTGGAAATGTTATTTATCCTGACCCTTTTCCCTTCATTGACCGATTCCTATATAACGCAGATCATAGTAATTACAACCACAATTAACACTCCTTTTCATATTTCTAACAGGTATGCCTAACTATAATGAAGAGCACAACAATTTGCCAAGCAAGAGAGTACAAAATACAATAAACGTACTGCCACTGTCCTCAACAGGATATCAGCGCAGCCAACTCAGTTGAATATCTTGTGTCATTGAAAATTTCCGTAAAAACCAAACCTTTGGTAAGTTAGTTTTTTGCATAACACAGTCGGTTAGTCGGGATTTATGCGCTTTCCATTGTTTAAAACAGTTTATCATGATAGCTAAATTAAAGAAATGGTCTCTAAGGTGCACAGGGGGTTATCACAGCAAATAAGAATTAATAACCAACTGTTCTACTTTTGTAGTCACCATATTAACCAGCTGTTATTAAAACTATGGAAAGCCGCATGCACGCTCAGTCATCACTCTTAATAAGGTCTCGGAGATCAGCCGTTCTGTTATTTTCCTAATAAGTTTCAAGTTTCCGAAATTGCTGGTTTGGTATTTACACCTGGAAAACTAAACTTTAAATTAAGCAACCTCGTCTCGTTTTACGGGGCAAAAACACCGCTCTCCAAAAGAAGTTTGCGTTTCTGAATTTAGTTCACGACGTATCCTTTCGTAAGAAATGATAACGTAGACCTATATTCATTAACGCGAACCAAAAAGTATTAAAACATGCTAAAAAATAAACTTATCAAGTAACTAGAAGACAAAAAGTGCAGAAAGAAAAGGTAAGTGAAAAAGGTAAGTTTACCTAAACCACTTTAGCCCTGGGGACTAAGTGCTCCGCCCAAGGGGGGAGAGCCCTGGGGACTAAGTGCTCCGCCCAAGGGGGGAGAGCCCTGGGGACTAAGTGCTCCGCCCAAGGGGGGAGAGCCCTGGGGACTAAGTGCTCCGC